GATTAGGACTCTTGTAATCTCCTATTTAAGGAGACACCATTATTGAATGAGGATATCGAATATTCAGTCAAGAAAGAGAGTAAAGGAGAGTTAGGTGATCTCTTGAACAAATCACCATTAGGGCGCGTAGATAGGTTCATCAAGAGCAGGGAGGAACAAGGGAAAACAGAGGGTTTTCCCCGTGGACCGACCCGTGACGAGATCCTATTCCCGGGCCCTCAACACAGACTGACATAGGGGTAAATATATCCCTGGCTATGATTTCTTACTTGGGCAAGCATTGTGAGTGATACAACATTGGGAAAATAGTAGTTGGACCGGATGCTGACTTTTCCATCTCTTTCTGTTTGCTTCCTTAGATGCTTTAATGGCCATTCTCTGGTTAAAGGGTTGGCCTGGGGTAGGTAGGGATTAAATTTTCTATTGAGCACATGTTTCTATCTTTGTATAGTGCTTCCCTGATCTTAAATCTATAATGTCGACATGGATTCATGTCATTCTTGGTTGGTCTTCCCAAAATCCTGCTATCAGATAACAGAAAATCTATTATGTTTTCTATATAGAGAATAGTGGCGGAGCATCACTCCAGGGGCTTCCATGAGTACATCATCATTGCTATTAACTATTACTTAAAACTATGATTCGATACACTACTCTCCAAAGTAAACGGAATGGGATTTTGATGGTCCCAAAACCTGAGACAAAGGTTACTAAAAAATTGTCATCTTTTAAAAATTATTATTGTTGTTATTAAAAATAAACAAGAAAGAAAAGTTCAGCTCGCTCTTAAAGCAATTTAAATATGTGTAGTCTCATGAAGCAAAAGAGAAAAAAAGTAACCAGGATGGGTAGGGGTGCTAGTTGAGCTGAGTTTGGTTGGGTTAAGGTCAACCCTAACCCAACCCGAGTTGTTGAAACCACAACCCAAATCCTAACCCTACCCAATGGGTTGTGATAGGGATAGGCTCAGATTGGCCTGATTTTTTCACTTTTTGCTAAAATGTTCCTACTTCCAACATTTACCTAGATTTTAGGAAAAGGATAAAGTTGTGGTGCTCTACGAATACTAATGTTAAATTAAAAAATCGTTGCCTTAAAATTGTTGATGCATAATGTTGGGTTCTGGTTGCATTGGGTTGCCAAAGGCCTTAACCCTAACCCAATCTGAAGTTCAGTAAGATTCATGTTTTTCAGCTAGCCCTAACCTGAATTTCCACTCAGCCTGACTTTTTCAGGTTGATTTGGGCTAACCCAAAGTTGCACCCCTGGAGATTGGTCATAATGGTTGCTAAATATGTGTTGCAGTGCTCTAATAATAATAAAAAAAAAGATGTGTTGCAGTGCTCTTATAAAAATAAAAAAAGATGTGTTGCAGTGCTGGATATTTCAATTTTAGGAGTATATGATGTGTCATTTAAGTAGGTTTGGTCATCCTAATAAAATCAGTTCATCTTACAAACTTTTGAATCTCTTTTACTACGAGCTTTTCTTTCTTTCTATCTTTTCTTTTATCTTTTTCATTGTTTTTCATCTCATCTGTTTTATATGTGCATATGTTATAATGGGCTTTATCTTTAGGGTAGAATAATGCATGAACTGTGCCCTCATACTTTTGAATTTTCTTGCAAGTTATTTTAATATACAGGTTTTGATGGAGTTGAAATCCATGGAGCTCATGGGTACCTTCTTGACCAGTTCATGAAAGATCAAGTGAATGATCGAGAAGATATATATGGTGGGACCTTAGAAAATCGTTGCCGCTTCCCTCTAGAAGTAGTTGAGGCCATTGTTAATGTGATTGGGCCTGACAAAGTTGGAATTAGGCTTTCTCCCTTTGCAAATTACATGGAGTCTGGGGACTCGAACCCAGAAGCTCTAGGACTTTACATGGCTGAATCCCTTAACAAATATGGAATTTGTTACTGCCATATGGTTGAGCCAAGGATGAAGACAGTTAGTGAGAAGGTTGAATGTCCACAAAGTCTTCTACCAATGAGAAAGTCTTTCAATGGTACTTTCATTGTTGCTGGGGGCTATGATAGAGAAGATGGAAATAGGGCTATCGATAAAAATCATGCTGATCTTGTTGCTTATGGTCGTCTGTTTTTGGCCAACCCAGATTTGCCAAGGAGATTTGAACTTGATGCTCCACTTAACAAGTACAATAGAGATACATTTTATACAACTGATCCTGTCATTGGTTACACAGACTATCCATTTCTTGAATCTTCTACATAGGTGCCGATTGTAGAAGGGGACCCTGAACTTTGTTAATGTGAATTTGTGATTATCCATTTCTTGAACCCTCTACTCGGATTTCAAATTGAACATATAAAGGAATAGAATTTTTGGTGCTGTTCTTTTGGAGGAATCCCACTGTTTTCTAGAATTGTAGTAGCATTGCATGAGTAGGTTGTGATTTGTACCGTTGTCATTTCTGACTCAAAACATTTAGAGAGGCAATGACATTTTATGTCAAAACATCAGCACAGGTATTTTGACATGACATTTCTTTGATTGGTACTTATGCTGAGTAGCTGTTGAACAAGTGTTTTGAGTAGTATAGCGTATGGTGTTTGCATTCCTACTAAAACTTTTGTTTGTGGTTCTATGTGACACCACCCTACTAGATTTAAAGTATATCGATTTAAAACCCTGTTTCTAACTTGATAAGGAATATTTTCACATTATGATAAGGGTGATGTTTATACCCAAAAGTTTCTAATAATAATGATTTTTTTTATATTATTAACAAAATTTTATGCATTCGGTTAAGTTTTTATGAAGTGGGTTCTTTCTCACAACAGGTTTTGGTTTGAGTTGGAGGCCAAATAGGGTTTTCATGTGATGGTAAAAATTAGGTGAAACCAATAAAAAAGGATATAGGTGTTAGATAGTGTTGCCCTTAGCTTCAATCAGAGTGTTGTACATAAACATTTATCAGTAAGTGAATAACTTTAGATAGTGAATTTGATCTAACCTCTTTTAGGGGTATGACTGAACCCTTATGGACTTGTGTGAGACCTTTGTAGGGTCTTATGCCATACAATTTCCAGGCCCAAAGTGGCTATGCAACACTTGGGAATGTGAGCCATTGGAAAAAAATGGGCCTTGGGCCCATTATTAATATGATTAGTTAAGTGATTATATGACAACTTAAATTGTCATGTGACTTGGGTTGAAAATGGGCATGGATATGGGTATGAAGCATGTATCATCTTAAGAGAATAATGTCTATCAATTAAAGATGGAGTCTTTGATCCAAATTAAATTTGGATCAGCTCTTAATTAGATTAGGAGAGTGCTCTATATAAAGGAGAAAAAGGAGAGTGTCCAATTCAGCTAATTTTCTTAATTCTCTTGTTCTTTCCTCTTCTCCCTTGTCTCTTCGAAACCCTAACATGACCTAGCCATTGCAAGAACAGAATTTTATCAGTTTTTTCATTTTATTTTGCAAGAAAAATGTTAAGTAAATCAGGTTCACAAATCCCATTCGATATCCAAGCAAATTGGATAACAGTTTTGCTGAAACGGTGTGGCTAAATTAGTTTTTCATATACACGGCGCCATGTTCAGTTGGAGGCAAGTTTTGGAACTGATATTGGGCGTGAACTACCACTCTATGAGTTGTGATTTGTGGATTTTATATAAGGTATAATCAGTTTTGATTTTCATTTCAAATCTAGTCCGATTCAGTACAAGATCGATTCAAAAATTTCAGATTTAAAATCATCAGGAAATCAAAGTTTTTGAAAATTGCCCAGCCACCAAGCATAGTTTGGCCATCCATAATCTGATTTCTAACCCTTCCAACAATAGGATTAAATTAAAATCTATTTTTGCATTGCTCTTTTATTGAAATGAACCTTTAATGTACTCTTTGTAGAAGATTGCTTTATGATTGGACACGAGTATACCCAATTTAATATGGAGTTTAAAAAAAAGTTTTAAATTTGTTTTTAATAGACTATGAACCCTTATCACTTTAGAAATTAAATTATTGATAACCAACTACAACTAACCGTAAATAAACAAAACTATGTATAATATATGGAAGACTACTAGAATTTTCGTTAATGTAATTAGAAGGCAATTTTTTGGTTGATATTCAACCTTTTAACTTGAAACATAATCTTCAAAACTAGTTTATATAAAAATGTTTGAGATGCAAAATGGAATATATAAAAACAAAGCCAAATGTAAAACAAATATACATAATTAATGATCAATATCAATTAAGTATGAAAACCAATAATCAATTTGATGGTCAAAACTATTTACATAATGAAGCTTGGTGTCCTTTAACAAAAACAAGCACCCTCGTATAGAAGAACATACACAAACATATATACTAAAAGGGCAACATTCCCACCATACAAATCTCAAGTAACAATACATATCTGACCATTGTACTACAACCATATTTAAGATAAAACACACTTAAATAATTAACAATAACCATTAAAATATGTTTAAAGTCTACTACTTGTATAGCAAAATTTCCACTGAGAAAGGTTAAATTTGTAATCCTTTACTACACTTTCTCACATTACTAACTACTATCATAAGTAATCTATTTCATGTAAAATAGAGATCTAAAATTGAAATATCTCATTTTGTATGGTTAGTGGATATGGAAATCCAGTTATCATTGGCGACGGTAAGTCAAACATCCCATTTTGTTCTTGAATCTGCTTAAAAGAAAAAAAAAATGTCTATATGTTAGCCTAGTAAAGTTTCATTGGTACTTTTATGAAAACAATAAAAAGTAAAAGTGATAAAAAATAAGAGTTTACCTTTCCGTGAAGATATTCATTGGCAGCTTTCAATATTCCCTCCTTCAAAACCAAGTAATTGTTAGATCTTTTTAAACCATCACTAGTCAGAACTTGCATGATGCACAAGCTTTATTTATAAGCAAAATTGAAGATGGAGCTCTATGATATTTCCAATTAAGTGGTTCTCATCTAAGTTCAATTCAAATATTATTTTTTGGGTTATGTCTAGTTTATCCAATCACAATCTAAGTTGTGCTTTAGTGAGAGTGGATGATTTCCTATTCTCTAAATAAATTTGTATTGCTTTTTAATCTTAATGCTAATTTTTATTATTTTTTTGATTTTTTTTTATTAATTTTTATTGGTTTATTATTATGTTTGTTACTTAGGTAAAATTATAAAATAACATCCTCTTATAACATTTCTATAAACCACCTTTGTATTTTGGCCCTAACAATGGTCTCCCCTATAGTTTTGAGAAAAAGGTGCAAATATCTCCTTTCCCTTGGCTTTTCGGTAACAAAGACATTGAAGTTCTCAAGATACCCTTGTCATTGTTAATGTATTATCATACATAATTTAAAGTTTCAATTTTATCCTCTACTAATTTATTTTGGCAAACAACTTTCAAAGAATAATTCTCCTTACTCTTCTTAGACAAAGTAAGGTAAAAAAGTTTGAGTGAAGGAAAATTAATGCATTACATCAATATTGAGGATGTAATGCATTTTTATTTGGAATGTTGACAAAAGGAGGGTATTTGCACCTTTTTTTTCAAAACAATAGGGGAGGTTTTCATTAAGGTCAAAACATTGAGGATAAATTAACATCTTTAGTAGGGCCATAATGGTCAACTAATGTCTCCCCAATTGATTTTTGGGGGTGCGCAAATCTCTTTACTCCCAAAAATCAAGGGAGTTATAAGGCCAAGACAAAGTTTAGGGTAGGTTTGAGGTATCTATCCTTCACAAATTATAGTATGCCCGAATGCATTTCTACAAATTATAGTATAATGTGGTAACCTTATTATATGACATAGACAAATGCATTTTTTTTCATTTAGTATTAAAAATTTATAAATATTAAGGAATAGCTTTGCAATTCTACAAATGTCTATATTTGATAAAAGATTTGTTAAGCTAGTAATGAAATTTGAGACCTTCTCCGTTTCATAATCTTAATGCAATAAAAATGATCAAAAAAGATTTTTTTTCTGAAACTGTCGTTAAACGTTTTACTAATTTTTTATATTATTTTAATCTTTAACTAAATGAAAGAAAGATATAATTTTTCCTTACCTTATTCTTCAATACTTCAATCTCTTCAAACATAATTTGCATCTGAGATTAAAGAAATATCAATTGTTATGTTTATTAAATAACAAAGAAAAATAAGAGCCTAAATCAAACAAAATAATATATATAAAGTAATTACCACTTTAAATTTAACTTGTACCTTTATTGAGCGTATATGGCATATGCAAACTTCAAGATGTTTTTCTAAGGCATGCAATTCATCTAGTGACATAGTTTCCACTCCCCCTCCAAACGTATACCTGAAAGAAAATTTATTACTACATATTTTATTTTGATAACTTGATTTATTTCTTCTTCCAAACATATGTTATTTCTAATTATATCCATAATTTTTTGTATTTTAGTTAATTATTATGTTTCTTTTCTCTTAAAGTAAAAATCCCATTTTACTTTTATATAAGTTTTTTTTTTCTTTTTAAATATTGCCAAGTGAACTATTTTTGTACTCTTTTATCACATTAAGTTTAGGGAAAAATCGCAATTAGTATCTTGTACTTTGGGCCTAGTGCCATCTTGGTCCTTGAACTTTAAAATGTGACAATTCAATACTTGAACTTGCAAAATGTGCCAATTTAGTACCTACCGTTAACCAGCCATTAAGATGCATTTAAAAAGACACATATGCCCTTTGAGTGTCATCTAACTTTCTTTATCAACCATCCAAACGTTGATAAAAATGAATAGTCGCAAACCCTTGCCTCTTCTATTCGAGAAAGTTGGGGTCACTAGAATGCTCACTGAGACGTGACCCCAATTTTCTTGAACAGAAGAGGCAAGAATTTGAGACCTTCATTTTTTTGTAAAAATTTGAATGGTTGATAAAGAGAATTAGATGACACTCAAAGGGCATTTGTGTCTTTTCAAATGCCACTTAACAACTGCTTAACGGGTTGGTTAACAGCAAGTACTAGATTGACACGTTTAGAAAGTTCGGGAAATGAATTGTCACATTTTAAAGTTCATGACCAAAGTGACACTATGCCCAAAGTATAGGGTACTAATCAGGAATTTAATTCATTTTGACATGGATGATGTGGTTATATATCAATTAACTAACACTGGTATCACTATATCAAAGTGAACTTTAATCAGTGCTTAAGCATTTGTTTTCCTTTTCCTTATTATCATTTATTTTTTCCTATAAGAATAATTATGCTTATATTAAATTTAATATTTTTATGAGTAAAGATATATTTTATATAAAAAGATCGATTTCAAAAACTAAGACAACTACACTAAGTAAAAGAAATCATTACATAATACATTAATTAGAATCAAACTTTTATGTCTATCAACTATATATCACACATGTTTTATTATATGAAACTATTTTATTTTGAAAGTGTTTAGTAATATTTGAAATAAATTCATTTTAGTTTTAAGTAAGTATAAATAAGATTAAGAGAATTTATAGGATATTTTTATGCTTCTACAAATTTTATAATTAAAAATTAATAATTATTTTATACCATTATAATTAGAATAATAGTTTCATTTTACTAGATGGTTATTTTTAATGATATAAAAGTAAGTAAACAAACTAATATGGTAAAGAGAGCAAAATAAATGTTGAAAAGTCTAAACACATTTAATTTTATGAATTAAAAAAGAATAAATTTTAATATTTCATTTACTTTTTAACTTAATTGACTAACAATAACATGATTAAAATATGGAAATAGAAAGGAATTTTGGAACAACCAAACCTTTAAATAGAAAGGATAGATAACACTTTTAATATTATTACAAAGAATAAGATGAATAAAAAATTAAGCACAAAAGAACAAAAAGAGAGAAAAAATCTTCTATTGTAGAAAAGTAAAAAAGAAAAAGAAATTACATAAAAATAATGTAAAAAGAAATTACTTACTTATAACTAACATATTTGTAAGTAGTATTTATATTTCAAACTTATAACAATTTATTAAGAATGATCCTTCAAACACTTCATCTATCCCATATTATAAAGGTATAAAGTAGGGGTACGGTTGTTGGTTTGAGATTTAAATACAATTTTTTATGATAAGAATAATCTCCACTTTTTATTTATCTATTAAAGTCAAAACTATTACATATAGGATTTTCATTAATTATGATTGAAGGGGTTTACATAACTGATTATTTATTAGTAGGTGTACTAGAACTACCATAGAATTTATAATGTTATTAGAAAATGTAAAACACATTTGAGATACAATCTTATTACTATGGTTAAGTATGCTTCTAAGACATGTAATAGGGATGCTTATATTATTATTAGACAAATATTATCTTTTCCCATCTCATTATGTGCTTTTCCATTTTTTTCCATTTCTTTCATTTTATTTTTTATAATTTTTTTTATTAAATTGATTAATTAAATTTACTTTATGGACTTTACAAAAATGCAATAATTTTACAAAATAATTATGGCATTTAGGATTTTAGTATGTTTAGAATAAGAATAAATATGAGAGAAATTCAGATATTCAAAAAAACTTATTCCTTATATTATTATTATTATTTAAAAAATGAATTAATATAGAATTATTGTAAAATAAGAATAGAAGAGCATATAAGAAAATGTGATAAAATTGAAAAAATAAAGATCATAATATTTATTATTTAAGAATTATAACATATCAATATTGAAATTAATTTTATTATACATTGTTTTTAAGCCTTATTATTTGTCTTAATGTCCTTATTCTCATTATTTATTTTATGAAGTTTTATCAATTTTAAAATATTTTATTAACGATTTTAACAAATATTATAAGTTTTATATAAATCCCAATTTTGAATTTGATACAATTATTACGTTTTGTTGAACTTTTAACATATATTTTTTGCATTATTTATCAACTATGATTCTGTAGTTAACAACTTGTTAATTGTTTCCTAAAGTAATAGGATAGAGTTTCTAAAAAGATTAGCTTGCCATAAAAATACGTTAATATATATATATATATATATATATATATATATATATTCTTGTGTTACTACCATGAAATGAACCTTGAGTAGCAAATGTCTCACTGTGATGACTAATAGAATATAATTGCATTTTACAGTATCAATACAAAAAAAAAAAGTTTTTATGCCATAAACTTTGCAAATCATATAACATCACATAACATCTAATTCTAATGTTAAAATAAATTTACAATTTGAATATTAGATTAACATGTTTTCTTTTCTGTTATACAAAGCTCACATTAGATTTCATTTTTGATCTACTTATGTATAGTTATAGTTTATGTTAAGATAAATTTTGTACATATTTCTTCTACAAATATTTATTGTACATATTTGTATTTGTACTATTCCCAAAGTGAGCCTTAGATGCAAACAAGTTTCTTTTTATCTTGAATGAAATAGCTGAACATATAATTAGTCATTATGCACAAGATTCACATGTCAAAGGATATTAGATTTACCCAAGACCCTTTTGGAGTAATTGAATCTCTTCTTTCAAACTAGTTATTTCCTCTGATTCCTGTCAAATAAATAGAAAGAGGATCATTTTTGTTTGTCGTTAGGGAACAATATAAACTAAAAAATCATATATATTGGTCTCTTCTTATTACTACAAGTGGATTTGGATGCTATCTAGCTTTAAAATGGTTGATAAGTACTAGATGATTACATCTTAAATGTGAGAGCAGGTGGAGAGATTCATCATAGTAGAAAGAAGCACATATTGAACAACTTTTCCGTTTGTATCTTGTCTACCATGATTTCCCATCGATAAAAGCTTTTTAATGGAGGGAGTTGGATAAGTCATATAAGAGCTGAAAACATTTTAGTGGATGGAGTTTGATAAGTCATATGCTACTACGAGTCAAATCATATAGTATATGTTTGGCATCGATGTTGCAGTTGCAGAACCGTCTGCTGATGTGGCTTGGAGCACAGTTTTTTCAGAAAATAGTGTCTTTATTTTTGTTTGGAATCATTGCTGCCAGGAAACGTTTTCAGCATTGGTACCCATTATCCAGTGCCACATCACTGCCCTATTGGCAGCAACGAGCTGCAGCTCCAAGAAACGCCAAATCTAGCATTGCTCCAGGCCATAGCTTTCCGATTTTCGAGGCATGACTTCGAGCACTGTTTTTTATGGAAAAACGGTTCTAAACAAATGCGTGTTTCCTGGAGCACCGTTTTTTTCCCATATGGCATTGATGTTGCGCCATTGCTCCAGGAAACGGCAACGATGCCAAACAGTTTCATAAGAGTGGATAAAATTTTCACTCCTTCCAGGAAGTAGGTGCTTCTGTTTTTTCACAGTTAAAGCTACGCTATAAAGAATAGAAGTACCAACTTTCTTGAACGAGAAAAGAAAATCTTTTGCATCAAAAGGCTGGTCATGTTTACAAATTCCCATAATATGAAAAAAACATTTTGCTTTCAAATTTACAATGTTATTTTTCTTGGGACAATAAATACAATGTTTGAATGATACCCTCATTCAAGTGCTTGTATATGTTTGAGATAGATTGTCGTCTAAGGGCTTGGGTGTGTGCAAAGCCATTAAAGATGGCTTTCAGTAGTTTTTCATAAGGCAGTGTTTGGTTGCAGTGCAAATTTATTTGCACTAATACAAATGCATGGGAGTGCAAATGAAAAAAAAATGCAAATTCTCATTTAATTTTGTTTTGGGTTTTACTTTATTCTGATTCACGTCTTAATTTAATTCATTTGTACTGCAATCAAACAAAATAAACTAAAATTTGAAACAAAAATAGGTTAGGATTTACACTCAAATCATTTGCACTGCCAAAATTTTGCAGCAGTGCATATTTATTTGCATTGCAACCAAACACAGATGATCATAGCCTATCTAAAAAGCAAATATACTTGCTCTTTTGTGCTTGAAACTTTTAATATCTTTCCCAAAATTTGTCTTGGATGGCTTCTTTTTGCATCTGCTTATGGGGTAGAATGGTAAATTACGATATCTTGAGATGGGAATCTGCAGTTAAGTGGAACATTAACAGTGAAATCAGTGCAGTAGCTATTCAGAGCCTGCTATGGAAGGGTGCTTAGCTAAAGTGGGTATAGAACCTAGATTCCTAGACGGCTCTCAAAAGATGAACTTGCACTGTTTCCATCTTACACATGGAAGATCACTCATATAAGGTTAGCATGACATTTTTCCTGTTAACTAATAGTTTTTTTTTGTTCTTCTTTCTGCCGGGTCACCCAAGTTCTTTAATTAGAATGCTTTCTGTTTTAACATTCTTCTAATAATTTTTTTCTGGGAAGTAAAAAAATAATAATAAAAGGAACATGTACATATTTGATGGTGTAACTCTAGTTCTATGGAAGTGTGAACCTGTTCTTTCACAGTAGTGAGGGAATGTAGATTTAGATTTTGACCAAGTTATATGCCCCTAATAGGAGAGCTACACAGACAAAACAGATACCCCATATAGGTATTCATGTGTTTATGTAAATACGAGTTTGAGTTGGGTAACTCGTTGAATAAATAATGAAAGATGACTTCAGAGTCTAGAAATGGCACAAATGATTAAATTCGAGTAAAACATGCTTTTAGATATTTGAAAATTAAATTGGCACAAATGATGATGACCAAATACTGCTATTCTTTCACACAAAACATGCTTTTAGAAAGAGAGAAAGGATGACAAAACTAGAAAAATTTTATTTTCCTATTTAGTAAGCAAAGCAAAAAACACTGTTGTAAATAAATCTAATATGAATAAAAAACCAAAAGAAATAATTCGTCTCTCTGGAACTGGAAGGAAATTAACTAATACATATATACTGTCCTTACAACATGGAGAAATGGAGTAATACCAGAGTAAGTCTTCCTCCAGTATCTTCAATTTGAACCGCCCGTGTGGATTTCATGTACCTCTCAATCAGCCCTTGCATGTTTCTTTGATAATTCAAATTAAAAGACCTCCAGTCAGAAAATTAGAAAATAATGCTAGCAGCTGGAAAAATGTTGACAATCACTGAGATAAAGAAGGAGAGAGACCCCTTTGTGGCGAGTTCATAGAGTTTTCCTTTAGTGGAGAAAATGATGATCCCTACATCAGCATCACACAGCACAGATAATTCCTTAGCCTTCTTCAGAAGTCCAGCTCTGCGCTTGCAGAAGGTAACCTGCCTGTGAACTGTGTTCTCGATCCTCTTCATCTGAACCTTTCCCCGTGCCATTGATATTGTTTTAGCTAGCTTTCTGCAGACAACCTCCCACTAGTTTAGACTAGCTTCGAGGTTGTTGCACCAAGACCTCTTTGTCTTCGAGTTGTCACAAGTCCCTCCAGCACTCAATGGCGTGTCTTATATACATGGTTTTAGATTCTCCTGTCTTGCAGTAAGAATATGTTGGTCGGCCGTTTTCTTTACACATCAGAGAGCTTTCTTTTCCCTATTGTTCCTTCTTGACATGGGCCTCTTTCTCATGTCTGTGGGTGGGTCCTTTCGGTATCAGACCTAAAATTCTTTTCATGTGCACCCCATCCTAATGAACCAACGGGTTGCTCATGTGGCCTCCATATCAGTGTTTAATTGTTTCTTAAGATTAGGGTTTAAGTCTCAAATAGATACAGTTTCATAAGTCATAAATAAAGCCTTTGAAAAGTCAGCACACTTAACCCACTCTTTACTTTGAAGAAGGCAAGAATCTTGTCAAATCAAACCCCATTCAAAGAGAAACACTAAATAACTAAATAAGATCTTTTCCTGCAGTTCCCGGATCAAAGGTGTTCTGTGGTTAGGGTTCAACAGGTGCCACATGGACTATGCCATGTGGGTGTTTGTGCTTTGACGTATAAAGCTTCGATTCCATGTCTTTAGCTTTAAAATGAGTTATCATAATTAATAAGAGAAAGTTCAGGCTTTCTTGGCAAAAGGTTTCTTTAAGTTTTCCTTTCGATATTTTAGCTTTTCGTATGTCACTTTCATTTGTATATTTGTATGGAGGATGGAAGTGGCGTGATATTTTATATTTCTTGAACGAATCTTAAAATAAGCCGTTCCCATGAGGAAACTATTACACCATATTTCTTGGGCTTATCAATCATTTAGAATAGATGGGCTAGACGCCTTCCCCTAATCAAAGCTTAATTTATTCATGTAGGGGCGGCAATTTCTCACCCAATCCGTTAAACTCAATCAATTCAACCAATATCTAATTTATTCTTGAAGGGTTGGAAATGAGTTCATCATCCATTAGGTAAATTTAAATGGGTTAGGTTAGGTTATGTTATAGACAATTATTGGGTTAACCACTAATTGTATAAGCATAAATTCCTTGGCCATTTTTCTTTAATTTTTTTTATTTGAGTGAAATAATTTATAATTAATGTATTAATTTCTACTAATTATTAATTAAAATTAGTTTTGACTTGAATCAACATAGCTCACATGATGTAGCGTGATTTGGTCACTCCTAACTAGCAGGGGCCTCACTCCTAGCTGGCAACGGACAACACCTGAGAAAGAGAAGATGAAGGATTCCCGGGAGCTCGCCCAGCGGGAACACTCCGATGCTTAAGTTAGAACTCGGTGAAAAGCTTAGAGAGTAATGACGAGCTAAGAGTGGAGATGCACACTACTCGATTACCAAAAATTCAATTACCTTTTTCCTTGGGGGTTGGAGCCCTTTATATTAATGCGCTGCCAAATCGGGTGTAACCACCTCTGATTCTTTGCTACAGCCGTTATTCGTCAGGCTGATTTGATTGGCGCAGGTATCCGTCGCAGGGTACGGTCCTGTCATTTGAGAGACGTTATGCAGAGCTGGCGTGCACGACGCCGTCTAACGTGAGACGTAGGCGCAGTCCTCTGGACTGGCAGGTGCTCCGCCGCCGGACAAGAGACGTGGGAGCAGTCTGACAAGCACGGTCTTGTCGGATAAGAAGTTTCCCGAAGGCTCCGGGTTACTCAATAACGAGCCCCTTTGTAGCGGGCTCCCTTGTAGTGAGCTCCAATAGCGAGCTGCCTTGCAGCAAGCCGTTCTGTAGTGGGCTGTAGCGAGTTGTTTTATTGGGGTTTCAACGAGCTTATTACGCCGAGTTGTGGCCAAGCTGTCATGCTGAAGTGTCACTTATGTTGAGTCATATCCACGTGTCCCTTAGTTAGGAGGTCGGGTCAAATCACCCTCCATCAATTGCTCCCCACTCCTCGGGCTAAGGGTCTCACTTTGGCGCGGGGAGTTCATGAAGTGATGGGTGGATTTGACCCATATTTAAAACTAGGTTGACTGATTACATGATGTATACGCGCGGATGTCAGGTGACTTCTAGATTTTTTGGACGCCAAAAAACGCACCAAACTGCCTTCAGTTTTGGAAGACGTGCAACCATCTTTATTTCAGTCTCGGAGGATGTGCAACCATCTTTATTTCAGTCTAGGAGGGCCCCAGGCCTCATTTTCTTTACGCTAACTTGCCTTGCTTTCAGTTTGAGGTTGCGCCTTCGTCTTGTTTGCTTGAGCTATCCCCGTTTTCGTCGCTTTCTCAGTTCACTTTTCTGGTGAGTCCTCTACTCTGTCCAAACAATGTCTGGGCATCCGTACTACGGTGGCTTTTCCCAAGATGGTAATCAGGGCGAGGTCCCCTCGAGCTCAGGGGGAGCTTGGGGGTTCCCTGAAGGGCAGGCTTCGGAAGTCCGTGAGGCCTCCGGTAACTCATCTTCCACTTCCTAGGGTCAGGAGCCTGATAGCTTCGGCCCTTCCTCCATGTCAATGGAGAGGCTTCAGGCCCTAGTCTCTTATTATAACCTCCCCAGGGATCTCATCTACAGCCTCCCATCTGGTAACTATCCCTGGGAACACGGCCACGACGAAATCGTGGCCTTTGAGGAGCAGCTCGTGGCTAGTCTCCAACTCCCACTACATCCTTTGATAGTGGAGGTTCTTACCCATTTCAATGTCACTATAGACCAACTCCATCCGAACTCAATCTGAAACGTAGTTGGGACAATTTCTCTGTTTTCCGAGTATTGTCTTCATCTTTCCCTTGATATCTTTGCCACTATCTTATCAATTAAGAATGCCTCCCCCGGAGCCCCTCCAGAAAGGCGCTCTTATTACTTTTCCCCCTATCCTGGCTTCAAGCTCCTCCACGATCTACCAAACAGGATCCCAGCCTAGAAGCAGGGTTATTTTGTAGTTCACAACCCTGAGGGTGGCCCTTTCCAACCCACTGGAGGGCTGTCGTTCAGGATCCGGGGGTTGAGCTAAACCCGAAAGTTCAGGAAACGCTGTAGTCTTGGGCGGGGGTAGGCTTCCTCTGTTGGTACTACTTGGCTGAGGACAAGCTCGTGCAGGCCGGCTTGAGCCCCAATAGGTCACCCTTAGGTCGCCTATTCTTTTCTCTCCTTTTTTTTTTGAGTTGGACTAATGCCTTGTGATTCTTGCAGTCAACATGTCTGGTGTGGATGCACATCGCCTTTTGTCGAGCAACCAGAAGCGTAGGGCGAAGAGGTCGTGCCCTGACCAAGCGTCCACTTCTGGGGCCGCCGAGTTCGAGGCTGCGGATCCAGCCTTTGTTCCGCCGCCGGAGGTCCCACCTGTGCCCTTTGAGGGAGTAGCAGCGGGAGGCAACGAAGAAGAAGAGGTCCCACCCCAGGAGCAGTACCCTTCAGCCGCGCGGTCCGGCCCCACTGTCTTCCC